CTCTCAGAACATATATCATTGTTTTGGGGGGGTCTGAAGCTGTTTTCTAGCCAAAAACTCATTTAATCATGTGTGCGCAAATGTAAGAAATTGCTCCGGGCAGCGAGTGGTTAACTAATATCTCTCTGATACTTTGTCTGCTTTCACTGATATGTGGGTTTTGGGTGAACTTTGACCTACTTAAGAATTTGTCGTCTTTCTTCCTCTAGATAAAGACTCTAACTCCACCTTGACGGAAGGTAAGACCACCACAGCCACGGCCCGGTTGGAATCTGGCGAGATCGCGCCGTCAGAAGACAATGATGACCAAGCGGAGAGTAACGCTGAGGATTCTGGGAAGCCACCGACCTCTGAGACGGAGGTGGAAATTCTTCCTGGCGCGGAGGAAGAGTGTAACCCATTACTTACCACAGATCCGAACGCTTATTGCATCGCTAGCGAAGAGGCGGATGGCAACCAGACCATCGCCACCGAACTGACCGCAAACTCCCGACGGAAGACCATGATCTACAAGAAGAGGCTGAGCGCGCTGGGGATCACCAAGGCCGAGGACGAGCACATCCTGTCCCAAGGAATGTTCCTCTCCATCGCCAGTAATCAGTTTAAGTGGAACGGTAAAGGCAGCTTTGGGACCTTCCTCTTCTAAACGTCACTTTTCACGCGCGATTCTTAACTTGAACTGATCTGCATTTTTTTTTTTTTTTTTTTTTTTTTTTTTTTTTTTAAGCTGATGGCTTCTTGTGTATATATTGTATTTTCCAACCAGTCTGTATCTGTAGCAGTTCCATGGTAGCTTTTAGGTCTGAGCTAGGCACAGTCCTGGTTGCCTACATGCCGCCCAGTGCCCTTTGGCACTTACTGTGCATCCCTCAGGACCCCTACAGACAGTCTGTGTTCCCCTATTTGCCCTGTGTCTCCAAGCTATGACTGTCCTTGAAGCATGTCCCCAGTCACCAACAACTCCTATAGTATGTCTGCCGTCTCTGACCATCTGCAGCATGTCTACACTCCCTGACCATCTGCTGTAGAATGCCTGTAATCTTCAAGCCAGGGGTAGGAAGCTCTGGCACTGCAGCTGTGGTGAAACTAAAATTCCCATCGTGCCTCTGGGAGTCATGCATGTGGCTGTGTCTTGTAATGCCTCATTGGATTTGTAGTTCCACAACAACTGGAATGCTTGAGGTTGCCTACCCCTGCTTTACACCGTCTCCTGTTGTATATCTGCAGGCTCTGAAAGGTTTATGTAGCATTTACTGAAGATGTGTGGCCCTTTGGTGATGCCAGGGGCCACACTTGAGACAGGAAAATCAGGTCACCATTGGTGTAGAGGATGTGAAAGGATTTTTACAGTGCGTTTCCGTCACCTTTCCAGTGCTATGCGTATGTCTCCGGGGGCCCTTTTTTGGGGGGCATTTGTTCCAGGCTTCATTTTGTAAATGGGGAATAAACGTTTCTGCCGCAAGGACGACGGCTTTATGTTCCCCGTACACCAGGGATTGCGGCTTTCAGACCTTTCCTGGTCTATTCAGTAAAATAAAATTGCACAATGTATCTTTTTCAGCTTCCTCTATAGTCTGACGCAGGTTTCCAGGTTCTTAGCTGTGGGTGAGATTGCTGCGCGGCATGCCTCTTGACTGACCAGCCATGGCTATTTCTTATCCGCTATTGAGCACTTTGTGCAAAACGCATGGAGGCGACTTCTTCTTTGATGTCTGGTTATCTGTGCGTGCCCGTGCATCCTAACAATAAATCTTTCAGTCAAGCAAGACAACAACAAGAGAATGAAGTGGTTTAGTTTGCAGGAGTTTTTGTATTGTGCATGGCCAGGAGGAGAGACGCGACCGTAGCGCTGAGACCGGCCGTGCTTACACCCTAATGGCCTGGAATTAGTGGGCTCTGTGCTGCCTTCCGAATATAAAATGAGATTTTTGGGCTGTAGAAAGAAAAGCGTTCGTCACATGAGGTGATTTTTGAGTCCATCGTCTATTTTTGCTTTAACACGAAAGAGTGTTGTACCCGGAGTTGGGCTTTAACCTTTGCTGCGGCAGGTGAACGATGGTTCGTAGCGCTGAGCTGCGCGCACTTTGGTGGGTTTTTGCGTTTCCAAAAGTGTTTTTATATTTTTGTTACAGTACAGGTTAATGACGGTTTTTGCAGGAGGAAAAGAGTAGCCAAATATGATGGCGCGTTTTGGGGTGAAGTTTATGAAAGAGACGTATTTTATATACTTGGCGGGGAAGCTTGCGCAGAGGGACACACCGCATTCTATCATTGGGTTGTATTCACACTGCAGTTTGGGGATTTCTGCGGCAAGATTCTCAAATCCTTCATTTAAATGCGGCCGCTGTCGTCCCATTCAGGTTAAGAGCGGCTGACAGCGGCCGCATCTGTAAAAGTCAGTCCCCCAGCACTTTGCATATAATTGTATGTGATGCAATAACAGATCACTGTCCATGAACACATCGGGCTTGTACCCAGGACAGTGCTGTATTCCAAACCACATTATCATATCGCATACGATTTAGATGCAGACTGCTGCTTACAGATGCGCCCGCTGTCACCCGGTCATTAACTTTTAGATGCTGCCGATGTCGACAGTTAAACAGCATAATTGGGGTTGTTGCAGCAGGTATCTTAAATGCATAGTGTCAGGAGGGCATTATTATTATACAGGATTTATAGAGTGCCAACAGTTTGCTCAGCACTTTATGTAATTTAATGTGATCTAACAATAATGGAGGCAAAACAGCCATATAAATTATGACTAGGCGACCATGTTTTGAGGCCCAATTTATACAGTTATTTCTCTCTCCAACTTTTATATACTCCTCTAAGAGGTCCATTCTGACTTCCGGCCTCCCCTTCCGTCTTGTATCTGACTTCCGGCCTCCCCTTCCGTCTTGTATCTGACTTCCGGCCTCCCCTTCCGTCTTGTATCTGGCCTCCCCTTCCGTCTTGTATCTGACCTCCGGCCTCCCCTTCCGTCTTGTATCTGGCCTCCCCTTCCGTCTTGTATCTGGCCTCCCCTACATAGCCACCCTTTTGTGGGCTAGTAAGCTGTGTGTCTTCACAAACACACAGACAAAGCAATCCCATCTCCTTCTCCACCACCTTCCTTCCTTCCTCCCTTTTCCAAGCTAGTAGAGGGAAAGCTTCTGAAGACTTTGCTGTCCCTTGCGATATTGTACTGGGCAGGAAGTTCAGGGAAGCTGAGCTGAGAGAGTTGGAGCTGTTTGGAAACATGATGACTAAGTGCTCGGGCAAAATACTTTGCAGGGCAATGATCGTTCCATTAGTGAAAAAAATGTTTTCGGGGGGGAGCCAAACAAGCCATCGATTGGCTATTGCTGTCATGTTGACCCTTTTGGATCTAATACTGCGGGTTCCAGGCCCAGGGCACTTGTGCAGATCGGTCTGGACTTGTCCCGGATGCTTGTTGCTGACTTGTTCCAGAGCAATGACTCTGTGCTGAGTCCAGAAGCAGCCAAGCGGTGAGTATTTTCAGCAGGAGGTCGGTAACGGCGGCCCCCAGATCCCTGACCGATGTCCTTTTTAAAATGTCACTTCAGTTGGTGTGATGCAAGTGAGTTTGGTGATAGCAAAGTGTACGGTGGCTGCAATGAATCTCTACAATGGTGAACGCTCAGTCACAGATTTTTAATACAGAGCCAATAGGGTGTAGGTCCAGTTATCCACCCCCCATGGGACTGCTTTTTGGAGTTTGTTGGGCTCCCTTTTGGCTTCTTGACTATCCCGGGGACTTCAGTGGTGATCTCCTTCCCATCTCTGTTGCCACTTATGATGAAGTTTGGATATTCTTCTTCCACCTCTTTATAAAATCCAATGACACCTGAGCGGGAGAACGGAACTCGTGATAGGTGCGGAGAGATGGAAGCTCAGAGGCAGAGCATCTCACCCCTGGGTACCCCGAAAGATGAAAGCGACCAATGATATGCCATGTATAGCATCTGACGAGACTTCTTATGTTCTTATATGGACGGACTGTCCCTTGTAGGCTGAGGAATTACCGGCCTATGGAATAGATTTATCACAGGATCTTGCTGCCGCTTCCCGCATTGGGCACCCCGGTGCTAAGTTTCCTCCTTTTTGTAGTATTATATATCGGTGGATCAGATTTGGGGTATTGAGGAGAAGTTTGCAAATTTGAGGTCTTGCATTTTCACCGTATTCCTTCACATTATGAATGACTATCGGGGTTCACAAGGAGAGTGTCATGTGTCATATAATATGTATGTGTGTATCACCGTATTCCTTCACATTATGAATGACTGTCGGGGTTCACAAGGAGACCATGTGTCATATATGTGTATCACAGTATCTATGGGGGAGGGGGGGGAAAAAAAAAAGGAGCCCATGTGTCATATATGTGTATCCCAGTCTTTGGGGGGGGGGGGGGGGGGGGTGAATTGTAAAATAATAAAATGAATGTATCTATCTCTCAACAAAGACTTTTTGTTTTCTTGCTTTTTAGATTTGCGATGAGTGAAATTCTTTTAAATTGAGCTGCTTCCTCCTTTTGTAGAAGAGGAGCGCCTGCACCCTTATTTCTTGGGGGGTATGGCTGGTCTATGTGAAGTGTGCATCCCATAATCTGCACTGTACATTGTTTAAACCTTCAATACCTTGTGACATCAAAAAAAAAAAAAAAGCTGCCAAATACCTGAAATATTGGTTTATTCCAGCGGTCATGTGACCGTAAGCACCTGATTCATAACTGGATGGGGAGCGGAGTGGCAATAGAAGGATTCGGTTGGCGCCATGACGTAGTTGTGGGCAAGGAAATATAGTCTTGCTTCTGATTCTACCCGACGCTCCACCATTGCGTTGCCCGGCAGCATGGGAATCATTTTAGGTAGGACGGGCTCTTCATTCATATCACTATATGTACAACATTGCTAAGCCAGCGTGGCAGATATTGTTCCCTTTTTATTATTGGAGCTCGGCTGTAAGAGAATTCCAAATTCTAAAAATAAAGTGTGTGCGTCCCCTCCCTCCTGGTATTCCCTTTCCTGCCAGTTTTCTGCGTGCGTCCCATGGGGCCTCCCGTGCGGGTGTAATATCCCCCCCCCTCCGACTCCACGCGGAATGATTTCATTAACATTCAATTAGCGAAGTCGTAATATTGACGGAAGTGTAAAAACAAGGCCGTATTTAAGCTTTTATGTGACCGCTCGGGAGAGGGGCCGGATCACTTTACTCTGGAGGAGGAGAGGACGGTAATTACAGAAGCCGTACTGGATGGCACTGCCGGCTCGGCTGCTGGATGATGCGCTCCCGTTATCATCGCTGCTCCCAAACTTGGAGTAGACCTACGCCCCTCCTATAGGTGCTGCAGCCCTTCATTATACCTGCATCTCCCCTGCAAAGGCCAACAAATAATAATTGGGAAGTCCACCCCATGCAGCTTCCTGTGACGGAGTGGCTACTAGGGACGCACCGATACCGGCTTTTCGATATCGAGTACCAATATTTATCTTCCGGGACTTGCCGATACCAGTTACCGGTACTTCCCTAGCATGGAGCCAGCTGGGTAATCAGGAAGCCGGGCAGCTTGTCCTTACATGCCGCTCAGCTTCTTATTTGCCCGGGAAGCCAACTCAATGCTGTTTTCGCCGATTCGATGCTGATTGGCTGGGAAGCCGA